TCTAAGAGGAGGTCGAAATAAAAGATAGCATGGACAAGATCACTCATTGTATCAGCATTACCTGCCATCTCTTCCGTTCTGTCGACAAGATCGTCCCACCTCTGACGCCTCCCGTCCTCTTGGGCGTAGGTTTCTGCTATTTGATAAAAGAGGAAATAAGAGTGAGAAGAGAAAGTGAGCAATGGTGACGGCTCGTGTGATTTTTGTATACAAAAAGGGGCTCCTATACCGCGCGCGGCGCACTAGGCGGAGGCGCCTCTCTCCCCAGTGCGATCTTTTCGGCTAGCCCATGTACAGGCGCCCTACTTTTTTCCTTTTCCTTTTTATTTTTCGTTTTCGTTTATTTTCTACTAGCAAAAAGAGCCCGTGCGTTGCAACGGGAGAGAAAACATAACACATAACTCAACAACCATCACTCAAGACCATAATAGGTCCATCTTCTTTATTATTGTGAGGCATCATATTTGTGTTGCCGCTTATCCTCCTTCTCACCCTCGCCGGCGATGGCCTCGGTGTTCATACAAAACAAAAAAACGTGTGTTGAATCTGGTTAATCCTAAGGCGTCTCTCTCTCCCTCTCTCCTTCCTCTCCCTCTCTCTCTCCCTCTCTCTCTCTCACGCTCGCTTTCTCTCACTCTCGCGATGAGAAATCTGTTGTTTTCCCTTGCGACATTTTTCAGAGGTATGCACGTGTAGTTATTGATGTTTTCTTTTCCGTATATGGTTATAGTGGAGTGTTTATTTGCAATCCGGATCGTCGCTGGTATGAAAAAACGGATCTTGCGCTATAAATTATAAGTTTGCTTCCATAATAATATTTTAAAAATATTTAACAGGTAAAGTTAACATCATATTTAGATTCCACACAATTTTCTAATAAAATTTCATATATAATATGTTAAAATCGAAGTTACAGTTTAAAAGATACAGATAATTTAGAAAATCATTTGGTTTGACTCAAATATATTCCAAAATAATATTTAAAGATACTTAAAAGGTAAAAATAATCTCATATTCATATTCTACATATTTTTCTAATCAAATTTCATATATAACATGTTCAAATCGGAGTTGCGGTTTAAAAGATATGGATGATTTTAAAAAGCATTTGTTTGACTTAAATGTGATCCGCGGATGAATTACCTAAAACATCAGGGGGGGTTTCGAAAAATGTAAAACAACGGTTCGGGTGTGACTTAAATCCGGACGGCAGGTTGATTTCAAGAAAAGACAGGGACTTTTGTATAAAATACAAAAATAACGGTTCGTTTTAACTTAAAACAGGCCTACGGGTTGAATTTTCTGAAATAGAAGGACTTTTTTAAAAAATGGCATGACGGACGAAAGAAACCGAATTTACTTTATTATTAATTAAAGTAAAGAATGACGGACGAAAGAAATATCCATCCATCATGCTCACACTTTACAACATCGGCGAATCCTTTGAAATCTTTTACGATGCCACACAACAAACAACATGATAAGTGGTGTTTCGCAAAAAGCATAAGATTGGATGATTTTTGAATACTCAAGATGTTTCAAATTTATTTAACAACATAAATATCAATGGTAAACCGACATTTCCAAAATACCACATGTAAAGAAGATATTAATTAAGGTTGTATCGTAAACAAAATTTTAGAAATGATTAATATAATAGCATATTTAAAATCTGCATGATTTTTTGAGAGATTTCCGTATATGACATGTTAGATTTTGGGTTTGAAATTATGAGTTAAAAAAAATTGAATGTGCCCGAAAATAGAAAAAATAAAAATAAAGTGGCTGGGCCAAAACTGAAACATCATGTGGCCCATCTGCTAAATAGGAGAGAATGGAGAAGGAGAAGATTTTTTGAGAGATTTCCATATATGACATGTTAGATTTTGGGTTTGAAAGTTATGAGTTAAAAAAAATTGAATGTGCCCGAAAATAGAAAAAATAAAAATAAAGTGGCTGGGCCAAAACTGAAACATCATGTGGCCCATCTGCTAAATAGGAGAGAATGGAGAAGGAGAAGATTTCTCGAAAAAACAAAAAGGAGAAGGAGAAAGAAGTGAAAAGGAGAGAAACCAGGAATCGAACCCGGGTCTCAGGTATGGAGACGTGAGGCTAATACCACCACGCCACTCTACCTCATGTTATGAATGATATGGGATTACCTTAAATAAACATAAGCCATCCGCGATTTAAGTGAACCGTTTTTTCCCACTTACCGGTGGCATGGTGGGTAATTATTTACAACTTCAAGGGTAATTTTAGTGACGTACGACCAGAAGCACTATTTGCTTTATTAGTAGGGAAAGATTTTAAGTATCTTTGGATTTCAGAGAAGTTCCAATTATTTTACAAAAACGGGAATTTTAAAAAAAGTGTTCGTGATTTAAAAAAAAGTTCACATATAAAAATGTTCATGATTTTAACAATGCTCGCATATTCAAAAAATGTTCATTAGTTTGAATAAACGTAGCAAATTCAAATAATTTAAATGAAAATTTGTTCAAAAAAATATTTATGAACTTCAAACATTGTTTCAAATTTCAAAAATACTTCTTCAGTTCTAACAATTATCGATGATTCAAGAAAATGTTCATGAATTCAAAAAAAGTTCATGCATTTCAACAATGTTCATCAAACAAAAATATGTTCAGGATTTACAAAAATATTCCCATTGTTCAAAAGTTGTTCACCATTTCAAAAAAATGTTCACGAATTTAAAACAATGTTCACAAATTAAAAATTGTTTTTGAATTTGTAAATAAGTTCATGAATTCAAAAAAATGTTCACTACTTAAAAAATTTCTACGAATTTTAAAAAATGTTGATTATTAAGTAAAATGACCTCAAAATTGAAAAATGTTCATGATTTCATAAATATTCTTCAATTTAAAAAAATGTAGATGATTCAACAGAATGTTCTCAATTTTGAAAAAATATCATGATTTCAAAAAACATGTTCATGGTTTCAAAATAATATTCAAAATTTTGCAAGATATTCGCAAAAATAAAAAGAGAAAGAAATAGAAAAAAAGAAAAAAAAAGAGAAAAGAAAAAGGGAAAAGACCGGAACAAAAATGAGAAACGGGTTCAGAGAAGGTTCAACAACCCTCCTTAAAACTAGTGGGGGATACACTTAAAATGGGCCGGCCCAAATGCGGATCAAGCGCGCTGGAGGGCTGCGCACTAGGTCTCTCGTGGGTGACCTGCGAGCCTATTCGGAGATGCCGAAAAGGGGTGTACCACTTCCAATTGCTCAGATGTGCAGGGGACATGAAAAACAAGCTGAAAAGAGCAGGCCCACGTGGGACAAAAACAATACAACCAAAAAACATAAAAAATGGAGGATACACTTAAAATGGGCCAGCCCAAACGCGGACCAAGCGCGCTGGAGGGTTGCGCGCC